CCAGGAGGGGACAGCTACACTTAGATGCATGTGTTCTGTCCTGTAATGCAACTGGTAGCATGAAGACAAAAAGTTACTTTGATCTTGCTATTGGGACACTGTTCATTCCATGCATTTTTCCAGACACAGGAAACAAAGCCACTGAAACAAGCCCTGTTAAGTCTATTTTTGGATCAGCATTAGTCATGGTGCACTAAAAGGTGTTCCAGGGAACATGCATACACACAGTGTAAGGGATTTTCTAGCTAACAAATACCTTTTTCAGGTCAGGGTAACAAGCACCTAAGCCACCTTCGGCATCCATTCTTAGGAAGAGCTTGGAGGCGTCATTTGTTTTTCTGGTGTGTTTTGAAAGCCATGCACTGTGCTTATCAGTAGTACTTACCTGCACCTCTGTCTTCAACCAACTGAAGCAATTTGGGGTTGATGGCTTGATTAGCCTCCCGAAGCACAGAGATGAGGTCATTTACTTGCTTAATATTGTTAGGAGTAAAGAATGTGTATGCTGTGCCTGTTTTGGTACTGCGGGCAGTTCGTCCAATTCGGTGGATATAGTCCTCTGAGGAGTTAGGGTAGTCATAATTGATGACAAATTTCACATCTTCCACATCTGTAAAGTGTTGCAGTGTGGCAAAAGGCAATGTACACAGTTTTGCACACCACAACAGCCAAATCGGAGATAAACGTTAGACAAGAGTACTTTAAAGGAAATAATGGCTGCAAAGAACATTGTTAGAATTATCCATTTCTGCATGAATATTGTGGAAGGGAAAGATATGCACACTCCATCTGTTCCCGTCTTACACCCACCCTGTGATCCAAAACCTTACCATAAAGGAGTATGCATTTGCTTGTCAATCCCAACTCAAGAGTCCCCTTTACAAATCATCAAGTGACATCTGAATGCTTCTTGCAGTAGGGCCACTAAAGCTCACAGCAGCCTCTTCATGTGCTCATTTGAGGACCTTAGAGTAAAAACATACAAGGTCCTTCACATACACACTCATCAGAAGCTCAAAAAAATGGGCCACACTGTTCGTCTTGCCAAGACCTTTGAACTGCAGCTGCAAGAAAAACATACCTGTCCCCCAAAAGTCACCAAGTTGTTTTTATGCACTGTCTCGTCTAGGCAAGCGCTTCCAAGAAGCCAGGGTTCACTTGAGAATGTGTCTCTCTCTGGCAGGTCTCGACATGACGACTACGTAAAGGTGGAGGAACTCCGACTTTCAACGGCATTTAGAAAAGCCGTTGCTTTCCTGCCCCGCTTGCTAAAGTGAGAGGTGGGCTTTTCTCAGATTTCATGTGCCAGTACTCACCAATTTGTACAAGGCTTAGTACATTTTAAAGCTGCTCTCTCCATTTCATGGTTGGAAAAAATTTCATTGAACATTCAAGTTTGTAATTATTTTCTTCAACATTTCAGCAAACTCACTGAAATTCAAAGACCCACAGATCACAGTAAACAGTATGCACAAAACTAACAGTACTGCACCATGGCAAATCATGCAAAGCATGGAGAGAAGAGAAATACCAGGGCAAAGTGAACTGTGAATGAGGCTGCTTATTTCATGAGAGAACAGGTTTATGGGGGTAGTAGTTTAAAGGATGATCTTTGCCTTTTGAAGATTACTGGCACACAATGCTCTCAGCTTTCACCTCTCTATTTGACCGGATGCAGCCAGCCGATCATTTCCACTAGTCCTCCATCCCCCTCGAGTCCTCCGATTGTCATGCCTAGGCCTTGCCACAAAGACTGCACCTTTATGTGAAGAAAACTTAGAAAAATGCAGAGGTTAAAGAAAGCAATAGACTTTCTTTAAATAACTTTGGGCAACTGGCATTATGAGTTGTACTAACCTAGACCTCTGGATGCAACATCTGTAGCAATCAGGATTGGTGCTTTTCCATGTTTGAATTCTGCAACAGAAGCAGCTCATCAGTTTCTTCGTTTATCAGCCAACACAGAAGTTATAATCAAAGAAAGCACTAAAACACTCACCATTTAGAACCCAGTCCCGCTCCTGCTGACTTTTATCACCATGGATACCCATTGCTGGCCACCTGAAAAATACGTAAATTGGATTGGTCAAACTTGAAGTAGTTTCATTGCTCAAAATGAATTAAACTTATTTCACACAGCTTCTAGAATTAATTTTAACATTTTAACTGACACCTGGTGCAGCTGTATTTGTTTTGACCCCCACAGTGTCAAGCTGTAGCTCAAGAGGGTTCACGAGCTTGTTTACAATCTATTAGGGTAACTGACAAGAGTTCAAGCTACTATTTACTTACCCATCTCTCCTCATTTTCCTGGTAAGGTCATCGCACCGTCTTTTGGTTTCCACAAAAACGATTGTTTTATTTTCCTTCTCACTCATGATTTCTTCCATCAAACGAATAAGCCTTTTTTT